CAGAAAAAATGTTTCATGCAAATAAAAATGGGGGGGGGGAAACTGGGGTAACAATAGTTATGCCAGACAAAATAGGCTATATAACAATAGATAAAAAAGGACCCAGTATTTCCACTTCTGGGTATTTATTCAAAAAAACTCAAGCACTAAATCAAAAAGATATATACAACTATATGCTCATTGCAGTATTATTTACAATAGCCAAGATGTGGAAACAACCTAAGTGTCCATCAGTAGCTGAATGGATAAATAAAAAGTGGTGCATACATATAATGGAATATGACTCAGCCATAAAAAAGAAATATTGCCATCTGCAACAACCTATATGGACCTAAAGGGCACTGCACTGAGTGAAATAAGTCAGTCAGAGAAAGACAAATACTGTATGACTTCACTTACATGTGGACTCTAAAACAAAATAAACAAACAGTGGAACCAAAACAGACCTCATAGATACAAAGAACATTTTGAAGTTTGCCAAGTTGGGGAGTGGGGTAGGTAGAGAGGGTGGAAAAGGCGAATGGATTAAGAAGTAAAACTGTAGTTACAGAATAGTCATGGGAATTTAAAGCATAGGGAGTATAGTCAGTAATCTATATATATAAAAGCCAAGCAACTGGAACAACAGGATGACCAGAATGACCGGGACGCAGGAGGTTGGCCAGCAGGGGGAGGACTACAGAGGGTTCCAGGGTGTGTCCAGCTCATCTTGCTCAGTCCCGATCAGCCAGACCCCAGCAGCAAGCTAACCTACTGGTCAGAATGTCTTCCCCCTGGTTGTCAGTGCATGTCATAGCAACTGGTTGACCGCCTGCCCCTTAGCGATCAGTGGATGTCATAGCAAGGGGTTGAGCGGCCTTAGCATATCATTAGCATATTATGCTTTGATTGGTTGAACAGATGACTGGACAACTGGACAGTTAGCATATTGGGCTTTTATTATAAAGGATATCTGCAAAGTGCCCAGCAGAGGACCCAGGACACAATGAGCACACTATAAAGGCAGCAGCATTGTTTTTACTTCATGTCACTTACACACTCCTGCAGTATGATCCAAAGTGTGCTCCAGCAAGCTGTGCTGGGGACTAATGGACGGTAACACTCTGTTCTCAACTTCAGACTGATTTTTCCTGTAGGTTGCCTCCCCGTGGCTTGTTTCTGGGTCTGCTCCGCGGAAGGCTCGTGTTTCCTGTATTCTCCTACTTCCTCAAACACCTCCTCCTCCTGTGCTCCCACAGCCTCTGCACTAACGTGTACCTCAGAATAAACAGTTTGCCCGTCTCCCAGCTGGACGCCTGACCTGGAAGAGCCAGCGGCAGAAGCGCCTCTTCACCCCGGGCCAGCATCTAGCACCGAGGCGGCGCTCTGAGCGCCTGGGAGAACAAATGATTCGCAGAAACAAAACATCCCTCCCGTGCCATTGCTCCCCAGCAAAACCAACAGAAGGCTGAAGGGTGGAGATACCGACAGATCCACAAGCTCAGGGGAGGGCTAGTTCACCCTCTACAGTTTAGTTTTTCCTCTTCTCATCTCATGCCCCCTCTAAACCATCAGACTTTCCCCCCGATTTTACAACAGGAAATGAAAACAGACAATCTCTCTCAGGCATTCTTTTATTTCTGTTGTTTGGTGTTCTGGTTTGGTACGCATGAGCTATGGCTGTATCTCACACTCATCATGACACACTCCATAAAACAGCACAAGATAAATCACCGGGCTGGTTCTGCTTCACCTGGTTGTCACACTGAAACATCTATTTCTTCTAAGCGCACAAAAGATAGCAGTCCTTCAATCTACAGATGAACAAGGACAGGGTGAGCGGCAGGCAGATCCACCAGGAAGCAGGAGACTAAGGTCAGGCTCCGGGGTGGCTGTCTGCAGACCAAGGTGGAAAAAGCTACCCAGAATCTCCAGAAAGGCCAGGGCAGTGGGGGATACACTCCTGACTGCCTCCCACCTATCACCTCCTCTGCTTTCTCAGCCCTCACAGACTCTGAAATAAACACGGAGGCCACAGAAGCCTAAGACCTGCCCTACGGCCTCGGGCCTGACAGACCCTCCCCAGCCCCAGCCAGCCCATGGGAAGACCAGGCAAGCCCTGCCCAGCGCTAAAATGTCTTGCCCTCAAAGGCCTTCAGATTGAAGGCAGTATCCAGAAACTTCTTCAGAGACACCAAGTGAGCGTTCCTGTTTCCCGTGGCCGGTGCAGCCGCTGGGTCACGGCCAACATACCTAGGGGAGGAGAGAGAGTGAGGGGAGGGCTGCGTGGGGTATGACTCTCCTCGTCCTGCCACAGGGATGAGGAGCCCGAGGCGCCATGTGGCAAAGTAACTCTCCGAAGGCCAAAGGCGGGAGATCTGAGAGGGCGGGAGGGGCCCTGGATCAGTTCTGGCTGCAGAAGGCTTTGCTCCGTGAGGTGGTGCTGATGGGGGTCCCTGATGAGGAAGGTGACCTGTCCCCAGCGGTCACAGCGCCAGCAGGTACTATGGTTCCCAATGTGGCCAGAGAAGGACAGTGGCCAGTTCTGGGTGACACACCAAACGGGCCAGGCAAAGCCAGGACAGGTTCTCAGGCCCCCGCCCCACAGGCCCTGCAGCGTGGAGGGCAGGCGGCTGGCTTCCCTGCACTCAGCCTCGTACCAGATGGGCCGTGTCCGGTTCAGGATGGTCATGAAGCGTGGGTTGATGTAGTCGTAGTAGCCCATGTTCTTGTGCTCCTCCTGGCACCAGACCAGCTCTGCGCCTGGGTACTTCTCTGCCTCTCTCTTGATCAGGTCGAAGGGGAACGGGGAGATCTGGGGCAGACGGGAAGACATGGCAGCGTAGACCGGGGGAACGAGACAACACAGCTCCCTCCCGGGCCCAGGGCTGGCTGGCTGTCCATCACTCCGAGCAGGCATACCTGCTCCAGGCGCGTAATGGCCACTTGGTCCTCCAGGCACTGGGTGCTCCGCTCCTTCACCAGGTCGTAGTACACCTTGCCTGTGCAGAAGATGAGCCGCCGTACCCGCTCAGGAGTCTGAGCCGCCGCCCCATCCTCAGGAATGACCCGCTGGAAGCTGGTCCCTGGAGACCGACAGGGCATGGAAGAGGCATCAGCTCTGAGAGGGGAACCAGGCCTGCCGCCCCCGCACCTGCAGGCTCCCCTTAGCCAAGGCCAGCCCAGGTTTAGCTCTGCGGCTGCACTGGGTACCTCTTGAACCAACCGATGGAGATGACAAGTGAAACCTGAGACGTCATAGTGCAGAGGTCAGCAAACCACGGCTCGAGAGCCACATGCGGCTCTTTGGCCCCTTGAGTGTTCTAACACCACTTCTTCAAAACAGACTCGCGCAGGCAGAAAACCGACTTCTGCGCATGGGCCACGAAGTTTCAATCACACTGCACGTGGTATTTTGAGGAAGAGCCACACTCAAGGGGCCAAAGAGCCACATGTGGCTTGCGAGCTGTGGTTTGCCGACCAGTGTCAGGGAAAGAAGCGGAGATGGGAGCCAAGGGCAGAGGCTGGGAGCATCACCATTGAGGGGGAAGTGGGGCCCAAGGGGAAATGAGGGTAATGACTTGCCTCTCTCGTGAGCTCGTTACCTGAAGCGGAGCTGCTCCCAGCCAGTCCCGCCATCGCTGTGAGCATGTAGTTACCCCATCACCTAGCTTAAGGGTGAGCACTGCCTCCAGAGACCTCCACACACCCCTTCCTCCCTCAGCCCCGCAACCAAGCCCACAAGTCCTACGTGCTGTCCGTCTTTCCTTCCTGAGCTCACGTCATGTGCCCAGAAGCAGGCCAAGCATGCTGCAAAGATCTCTGGGAAAGTGACCGTGTCCTTGCATCCCAGGGAGCACAGCGACCAGAGAGGGAATAGGCTGCCAGGCCCCTCCAGAGAAGAGCCAGCATCAGGCGTCCAGCCCAGGCGGCCCAGCCCAAGGCCAGAGCTCCGAACTGCCGCCTCAGACCTCCCACCCCTCAGGGACACCCACACCCATGCTGCGCGCGCTGCGGGAGACCCTTCCTGGCCAGACCACTTCCTAGGACAGCTCTCCTCTCCACGCCTCAGGGCCCCAGCTGCACTCCCTGACCTCCACTGGCCTCCACCTCAATTCCTACACTCGGTCCTCCAGGCGCTTTGTTAGACTGACCCGACCCCAGGTAAGTGAGGCTGCGAGCTCTGGAGGGGACACCGCGTCCCAGAAACAGTCATGTCTGTTTGGCTCATGAGTGGGAAAAAGTATTGATGAATCAGTGACATTTACCCTCCTGCAAACGAGGTAGACTTCACCCGCCTCCTGCCTCTAAGCTGCCCCAGCAGCCAGGCCAGCCCTGTTGGGCCCAGTGCACCCCTCTGTCCCTGGTGCTGAGCCCAAGCGGCCCAGACTAGCCCAGTCCAGCAGGCAGTCGCCAACCTCCCCACCCAGCCGCGGGTGGGGACCACACAGAAGCTGCTGCAGAGCCCAGAGCCGCAGACTGAGTGAGCTCAGTCAGTCCCAGGAGCAGAGGCCTCACCCGGGCCCCGGGCCTCCCCTCGCCGCCCCGCCTGCCCAGGCACATACCGGATACCATTTGGTCAAAGCTGGACTTGGCCTTCGGGTGCCTCAGCAGCGATTTGGGAGTGAAGACGATCAGCTGGAAGGGAAACAGGAGCCGAGCTGCCAGCTGCCCCCGGGCCAGGCTCTGGGGCTGCCCCGTGGCTGCAGCGGCGGCCGGGCAGGCGGCTCACCGGCTTGCGGAAGGGCAGCAGGATCTGCCGGCGCAGCACGTGGAAGTAGTTGGCCGGCGTGGAGCAGTTGACCACGATCCAGTTGCAGTCGTAGAGCTGCTGCACCTCGAAGTCCTCCGAGAACGCCTGGGAGGACAGGGTGGCTGGGAGGTGGCCCCGGGCGCCCGGCCCTGTCCCAGGGGAAGGCAGGTGCACTCACGGGGTAGGCATCCGAGTCATCGTTGCTCATCTGCAGGAACCGCTCGGGCCTCGCCGAGGAGTGCTCCGGCCCCTGAAAGCGAAGGCCAGG